AATAGTTGTTGCTACTACATACGATGGGAGCTTCCATCTTTAATCTGAAGACACTTAAACGTACGCGCCATCTCGTGGCAACTTTCATAACGAACCCAACGAACATTCCTTTGAGAAGGTTCCTGATACCATCCCTGTGCATTCCACTGTTTCGGCGTGTATGTGAACACATTTGGGACTAACAGGGTTTACTAGAATCCCACCACTCCACCACAGAGTCACCGCAGTAGACGTTAGATGAGCGCTGTCGCTCCGCGGCACTTGTTTGGTTTCCATGGATCTTACCATTATGTAGATGAAATGCAGCTAATGTTTGAAATGGCTGTGCAGCATACCATCTTTGACAGCTGTACAATACAGTCCAGCCTACATCAGTATAAAGCTGGGTTTACATATCACTATCAGTCTTGCTGGAAAATTGACGAAATTGCTAAATTTTTAAATTATTTGACCAAAAATAGGCAGTGCAAATGTAAAAGTCTTGACCTCAACTAGTTAATATCAACTAGTTGCGAGATGAGAACGTGTTCTATTTTCGCTAACTTGGTGTCGGCGTATTGAGCATGTTTTTGCCATGCGGCTACTCGGAGAACAGCAATCAGGAGGTGTGTCCCTCCACCCATGGGTAGAGCACGTTTTTGCTATCGGCGCCACACTGGCGCGAATTAATACATGCAAAAATGCGTATCCACGGCGCCCCGTGCGCACACTGCGGGTCAAATGTTGAGATGTTTGCCGACTCTCACTTGATAACGTAAAAGCTTTGAACAGCTGATAGAGAGGTTGATAGAACGCAGAAAAACCTATCATCTCGCTGATTTTTCCATAGTGTAAACCCAGCTTCACTGAGTCAAGTTGCAGGAGTAAAGTTTGTTACCTGCAGCAGTGTAATGCTGCCTACTTGCAGTAGAATTATAATCGTAGAACATCTTAAAAGGATCGTTTACTCTAGGTTCTAGGGTTATTTTCAGTTTTAATTTAGGTTAAAATTACGCTACATAAAAAATTTCATGGTTCAATCATCATTAGAAATATTATTAAAAAATGTTTTAAAACTAACGACTACAGTTTGATTACAGCAACGGTGGCGCCACTCAAAGCGCACGATCTGATAAGTTGCGCAAAACCACTTTTCAGCCAAGTGCTACAGACCGAGGGTGTTTCTTATTTATTAATTTAAAAGCAAAAGTATTGTAATATCTTATAAACGGCATATAGTTTCAGTTATATTATGGATAAATTTGTCTTAAAGTTAAAATGAACATCGTTTGGTTAAATAGCATTTAGGTATAAATATAATTGCACCTTTGTGATTAGCCCTCGGTCTGTAACGTGCAAAATAAATTGGCAAATGCGCAACTATTTCAGGGTTGCAGCACGGTCGCGGGTGTCAATGGCGTCGTTCAAATTTCATAGCGTTGATGTATAATTAATTATAACACTTAAATTAGGTATCTGGTAACAAATACGTGTGGGTACCGTATAGACGATTTGTTATATACAGTAAGTACAGTTGTATCAAGAGCTTATAAAGAAGGAGAGCGTACAACAGTGAAATGCTGAAACCATGTTGCAGTATTAGTCGAATTAATTAACTTTTCCCGTTTTATTTTGACGATTCTTTGCAGTATTATGGATCAGCTGTCCTACCTTGTTAATATAAAACAAACTGCATGTCCCTACGATGCCTCTACGCTGAGATAATGAGCGGTGAAAATCTGGTATTTTTGCCGAAAACCGACTCAAGATCAGTTTTACTGCGACTGTCTCTCGTTTTGTGGACTGTATGTTGCTTCCGGTCGCCGCTGTGTAGCGCTGACTCGATACGTTATTACTACAGCATTACTACATCCAGCGTAAGGGGCGGGTCATCACCATGGCGATAAATAACAAGACGTTTTTGTGGAGTAATGGCTGCGTCAATGACTGGAAATGCGAGAAAAGATAGTTATAAATTATAACGATAAAAAGAAATTTCATTGTCAATGAATGACGGAAACATGCGAGGTTTCCCGAAGCTATCGCCAGAACGAGAGACAGTCACAGCCACTACGTATCTCGAGTCGGTTTTCGGCAAAAATACCAGATTTTCACCGCTCATTATTACAGCGTAGAGGCATCGTAGGGACAAGTGGTTTGTTTTATATTAGCAAGGTAGGACAGCTGATCAATAATACCACAAAGAATCGTTAAAATAAAACGGGCAAAATTTATTAATTTGACTAATACTGCAGCACGGTTTCAGCATTTCACCGTTGTACACTCTCCTTCTTAATACGCTCTTGGTTGTATGCAGTAAAATCCTAGAGTCTAGTATCCCTTTAAATATGATATTTTTAATTCATTAATTAAATCGGCTGGTTCTCGCAATAACATGCATAAATACATATGCATACATACATAAATACATACATATAAAAACATACATAAATACTGTGAGCATACTTGCAGTACGAAAACATCACGAAATGTTCTTATTGAGCCAGAAATGTGCTTCGAAGTAGAGCATTTTGAAAACTGTCTCGGAGAAAGTTTTGGCATATAGATACACAAAAATTGTGTGAAGCGAAGCTACCGGGAACACTAACAGTAGGCCTATGCTAGCGCAAATAGTTCCTGGAACGAAAACACTATTTGTTTGCTGATTGCATATAAGTAATGTAGATAACATATGATTTAAACAAATTTCACAATTTTCTGTACTGAACAAACATTGAATAATAATTATTTATTCGTATACTTTAGCCTGGTGTAAGAATCGGCAGCATGCGCACATGCGTAATAGGCTAGCACAGCATAAATTCGAGGGAATTTGCTGTAGTACTATTTTCTTTTAAGACTTCAGATTTGCTGAAGAAATGTTATGAAATTATCAATACAAATGAGTTGTAGTGCATTTTTACAAAATAGACAAGCTAGCAGTAGGTATATCTATGCATTTTGCTGCGAGAACCAGCCACTTTAATTTTAAATGTGGCAGTTTTATATCAGTATGTGGTTTTATGCTTCATAAAATATGTTATTGGTAAATTAACTTTTGCATTTTGACTATAATTCTAGGTTTGTGTGGACAAGTTAACTCTAAGAAATTTTTGACCTGCGCTGTTTGATGTACAGCGTCCTCGTACTGTGAAGCAACACTCCGTGTGTATGAATTTCGCAAACAAAGTTCTGCTGAACTTTCAACAGAACAGAGTAAGTTTTTGTACTCGATGCTTATCTTACACAGGTTATAATGATCGGCACGTGTGCTCACTCTATGTGTGTATTCTTCGCTGTGATATCTAAAAATTGTTATTTCACAACGTTGCATTTCATAGTAAGGAGTTGATAACAATTTTGATACCCCACTTGTACTAAGCTATAATTTGAAAGTATTGCTTTATTAATATATATATGCACTATGTATCGTATTTACTCATGTATAAGTCTTGCATTTTTTTATTTGTTAAAGTTATAAATTGATTTTATTTGATTCTTAATTCACTTCTTAATTAATCTTAATATTGATCTATATGCTTATACTTTATCATGCATGCATTTTACAAGTGTTCTATAATTATGTGCATAATTTACTTTTGTTAATAAATGTTTTGTAATATGGCAACTTATGTTATTAACCACCACTACGCAACATGACTCCAATATTCCATACCAATACATATTCCATGTATATTTCATTAAATTAATTTTGTACCAATTTTCAAGGCAATACTTGGGGTGTGACTTAGTTATACTATACACAAGTGCGACTTATACGCGATTAAATGCAGGATGTGCACTATACAGAGTTCACCGTCTAAAACAAACATGCTATATGGTACAGGACAAAGTTATAGATATATGTGTGTGTGTGTAATTTTCAGTCTATGGGAGCTGGGGCGTTTCATGGCTGCCCACCGCGTGCGGATAGTGATTCTGAAAGCCTGACGTCATCGCAGTCTCCCTCTAGTGCTTACAGGGACATGGATGAGACGTGCCATTCCTGCACCCGGAAGTTCCACTTCGTCACGCGGCGAGTATGTCCTCGTCAGAGTCTCTAATAGCTATACTACCTGTTTATGTACCTATGTAACATTGAAGTACGTTTGCTTACTCGCGCCACCACAACCATACTGCTCCACATTTTAGCCATAACCCTGCATTCTGGTACAACACATTCACGCTGATGTGTCAAACTGCTAGATACAAAAGATGCGTCGCGTCACGCTCACTGCTATAATAATAGAGTCTCTGGCTACGTGAACAAACAGCTGTTACACCTGCTTACATTTCGAAGTTCATAACGACTGATTACACTTATCGCGTAGCTTGTAATGGAGTCTGCGTCGCCACCACGTAGCTCGTACTAGTTTATGAGATCTACCCGGCTGTTGCATAATTCTACTTTTGTTTGTTATGGTGCTCACGTAGAATTCTACCGATTTACCTAAGTGGTCATAGCGAGTTATACTGGTTCATCACAACTAGGTGTGCACCGGAACTTGGATCCGGCTGGAACTATCCGGGCGGATCCCCAATTTTTCAAAGTTCTAGTTCCGGCCGGAACCCTTCAGGAACAGTCGGTCGGAACCCGGGACTTTTTCCTAATTTCATTTCTGCTACAAGCGTCATCAAGATCAAAAGATCAGTCACTGAATGTAGTTGAGCGTCAATAGAGTCAACTTGCTGACAATATAGTGTTAACAACTTCACACTATTCTGCACAGAAAACGTTTGCCACTTGAACATCGGCTAAATAACTGAACTGAACCTAACTGATGTTAGGTGATTCACGAGATTTTATTTTAAAATAAAATACTCTTAGAACCACAGGAATGGCATCTGTTTGTTAGTTGAAAATAATCGACTAAAACCAGGGATACTGCAACATGCAGGTTTTGCCACACAATTCGCTCGCGAATAAGATGCCAGATGTGGTAGGTTAGGGTGATGTAAATTGGGGTGCGGTAGGTTTGGGTGGGGATATAGGTTGATATTGGATAAGGACTCTTTAGTGACGTATCTTGACGTAGACGTCGTGGGGTCTGCTGTACTAGAACGATATAGGAAGACCACCAACGTGCATTCTACATTATACACGCACATTACGTGCATTCTACATTCTACATGCATGCTACGTGCATTCTACATTCTACACACATGCTACGTGCGTGCTACATTCTACACGCATGCTACGTGCCTGCTATATTCTACATGCATGCTCGTGTAGGCTACAATCGCGTGACAGTGGTGCCAACAAGCATTACCCGGTACCGCTTCACATTCGCAGACGCACGCTGTAAACCTTCGTGTAGACACATAGCGTGCGTGCAGCCGAATAATAGAGTGCTGAATCTATACTATGGCAACAACTGCGGGGCAGCACGCTGCTGGGAAATTCTACACAACCTGGTTTCATATAGTAACGTTGAGCGAGAGGCGGCTTCGCGCGTCAATACTGCAACAACGGAGATCAATTAATCACACGCTCATTATCACTGCACGTGCGCCCAGACGGTGGGGGAGGGGGAGAGTTAGATATAGAGAGTGTAGAGAACAAATTGAAAGAGAGACATGGGAAACGTGAAGGTGTGTGGGAGGGAGACGGTGAGTGAGAAGAGAGCGGAGTATGTGAAGAAGAAAGGTGAAGAATGATGAGAGAGGAAATGAAACGAGTAAAATAAATTGAAAGGTAGACAGCCAACCGTGAAAGTAGGGAAGGAAGAAGGGGGAACGGAGTAGCGCAGTGTGAAGAATAAATTGAAAATGGATATAGGTGTTGTACAACAGTAGAAGGCGTCCATAGGCGGTAGTCGGATCCCGTTTCAAACACAAGAATGGCCGGCCGGTCACCATGGCTACGCCACTTGCTGGAATGCCACAATTACACGACAAGACCAATCTTACTTCTAATGCTTTCTAGACGTCCACGAGGCATCTAACTTAAGTGCACTCTAGCGCCTAATTTCACCACATAAAATCCCAAATTATTTTTTCTATGGATCAAATAGTGTAATTTGCGGAGGCTTACTGTTGTATGTTTTATGTTGTATTACTGTTGTATGTTGGAATCGCGACGGTGAAAGAGAGAGGAAGATGTGGTAGTGGAATCAGGATGAGTGTGGGGGACAGATAAGGAGTGAGATAGCGAGAACGGCGCAAAGTTGTGAGTGGAGATGAGAGAAGGAAAGGGGGAGAGGGAGAGGGAGAGGGAGAGCAGGTTACAGGTGAGTGGTAGCTGCAGGTTACAGGTGAGTGGTAGCTGCAGGTTACAGGTGAGTGGTAGCTGCAGCTTACAGGTGCAGGTTACAGGTGAGTGGTAGCTGCAGGTTACAGGTGAGTGGTAGCTGCAGGTTACAGGTGAGTGGTAGCTGCAGGTTACAGGTGAGTGGTAGCTGCAGGTTACAGGTGAGTGGTAGCTGCAGGTTACAGGTGAGTGGTAGCTGCAGCTTACAGGTGAGTGGTAGCTAGAAGAGTAATGAACTGCCCCACTGTCTTCCGAGACGCAGGAAACGTTTGAAGAACCCGAAGAGATTGCCACGAATCGAAATTAGTCGTTCCTAGCCAACCCAGCTGTAGCCATTATCTAATATTAGTTAGAATTTACTATTATTAAGGCCATAATAAAAATATTGTTTGTTTGCCCTCATCTGACTGACCCGCCAAAAAGGGGCTGACTCCAAAAAATTTATTGATCTTTCCCATTCTTTTTTATTTATTTTTTTACACATTGTATCACTGTACATTATATAAATCTGTAGGCAATAAATTATATGTACCAAGCAAAACAAACATTCAACATAAAAGGTATCTCCATACAAACACACCCGAGCATGTAGACACCATGCTGAATTTGTAAAAAGACCCCCCTCAAAAAAAGAAGCCTACCTACCTACCCAAACTTTTCAGCCTGGGTCGGGTGAGAGCAAACAAAGACTTTTTTAATTGTGGCCTAATGTGTTGCGGGACCAGGCTCCTTATTCCAAGGCGAAAGCTGTGCGCGTAAGTTTGTTCAGCAGTTCGCGTTTTATTTCGCAGTGAAACAGCTGACGTAGTGGACGTTTTGTGTTGCAGGCGACCGGGTTGAGAACAGGGCAGTATGAACCATCGAGCGTGCCTCACTGTTATCAGTCTAGCTTCAGGGCAGACAGGCAGCAGAACTGCCAAGCACCTCAGCCTGAACAGCCAGTAGAACAGCATGTGGAGGAACACACGGAACGACGCACTGAAGAACAGATGGAACACCATGCCGAGGAACAAGCGGAACAACACACTGAGGAACAGACAGAAGAACACATTAGTGAACGGACCAGGGAACACACGGACGGACACACCGAGGAACAGGTGGAACAACAGACCGAGGGACAGACAGAGCGACACACCGAGGGACAGACAGAGTCACAGGAAGCAGGCGTAGGCAGCCAGTCGTCGACTAGGGAACCAGTTGCTAGTAGTGAGAGCAGTTCCGAGGTGCCACACAACACTGATCAACGAGTAAGTCCTTCATCGTTCCTGATTCGCATCGCAATAAGCAGCTAATCTAACACCACGTACAGACAGCAAATATTTGATCCTACATCAAACTAGTCCGGGCCCAGATTAAATTTTTGCAGTGTGCACACACTATCCTTGGCTAACCGGGTAGTTTTACGAACGTATGACAACCCGAATACGAGGACGATTTCATGGCATTGGTTATTGCTCTAGGCAATATGTACAGAACATCTTGCTAGTTTTTTTATCCCACTTTTTTACACAAAGCATAATTTTTCTTCACAGTCAGTTGATGCTCAATTTCAAGGACTCACGAAAAAGTGTTTGACACTGGATGACATATTGGTCTATGATGAAATCGCCGCTCTGACGATACGACAGCTGAAAGAGATACTCTTCACGAATTTCGTCGATTACAAGGGCTGCTGTGAGAAGCAGGAGTTGCTAGACAAAGTACACAGACTGTACAGGGAGCATTGTGAAAACAAAGTCAAAGGTAAGCAATGGCAGCATGCAATGTAGATAATTTATAGAAAAATATAGATATAAAAATAGAATGAGGTGTCAATTTTTTATTTGGCAAGCTTTCAAGAACATATGTCTTTTCCTCAGGCTTCACAACAACAACAGATTCTGGCGAACTTATTTTCATTTCATATTTTTCTATATCTGCATGGGTGTCCATGTGTTTTTACTTCTATATACATGTGTATATATATATGTATAAAAAAAAACAAATTAAAAAAATACGTAAAGGGTGTTTAAAAGGGGGGGTTCGTTCGAACCAAACCCCCCCTGGCTACGGGCCTGGTATCAGTATTACTAATAGTAATAGTAATACTACTTACTAGTTATACTTCCCTTATTTATGGTTATATAGTTACATTTTTCATTTTTAATAGTTCAAATTCATGCTTAATTTTAGACCTATACTGGCTATAGACCTTAGAGTATATTTTTCTGTTTTATTGACAGATAAAACATTACAGACATTACAGAGTAAAGTTAATAAAGAGTAAAGTAAATAACTAAAATGTTAGGCCTAGTCTAGCTCTAGTACTATAGCCCGCGGATCGCTGCCGCAGGCAAGCGTGCTATGCCTGCACAAGCTATATGCTGCAAGCAAGCAGCCTGCGGCAACTGTACGCGGGCTATAGTATAGTCCTAGAGCTAGGCCTAGGCCTACAGGCTACAGCAAGCCATTTAACCTATACAGTATACTATAGATGGCTATGCTGAGCTATGTTTTTCGATGCTATGGTGGCATGCATGGTGCTGATGTACACTTGAATTTTTGGGTTAAATCGTATATACTGCAGCGGCGAACGACACAGCGTCATATTAGGTGAAAAAGTTGCAGCGACTGGGCAGCGACTGGGCAAGCTGCATTGCAGGTGTCAATGACTGGCGTTATCTAAAATTATGTCCCCTTTCTCGCTACACAATGGTGAATGAGGGCCATTTTATTTTAAGTTTGTGAGCTCAAGACTACAAATGTTACATAGGCTTACCATTTATTCTGTGGTTATGTGATAAGGATAAGCAAATCTTTTTATTTAGCTGGGCACTGTTGCATGATAAATGCCCCAGCTATTATAAAACCCTATAAATACCTTACAAAATAATATCTACTAACACTTCATTTATGTTGCATAAAAAAATACCTGCTTAAAGTTTAACTCAATTAACCACTAGTTAGATCGGACATGTGTAGAGTGCCATTCTGTTCGTATAGGTTATATTTTATTGGTTGAAGGCATGTTCTGTTCGGAATCATGTATCATTAGATTCTTTATAGTCCATATACCACCATTGAAATAAAAACTGGTATAAAAAACAACAGCCAAGTTGCTTGCTGTGTAGAAGCATGTGTGTTAATTATAATATACATATATCTTTCTATTAATTATGGTAAAACACTGAGCACTGAGTTCAAGCCGTTGCTTTTTATTAGCTCATCTGACATAGTCAGAAGAGAGAGAGAGAGAGAGAGAGAGAGAGAGAGAGATAGAGAGAGATACTACCAGCAGCAGCAGGACGCCGGCGTTCGAAGGTCGAGTAAAGGGTGAGAAATATATAGTTCTGTAACTATCTTTGCCCCGTATGTGGGCGGCATATATACGTGATACGCGCAGTACACTGGACTGGAGAACGAGATAATTCTCTGCAGTAATGTAGGCCTACATGTGTGTTTCATATCTTGTTTTGCCCTCACGCACGCGGTGTCTAGTCGCAATACACTGGAGCATGTAATATAATGCTCTGCAGGGACGTACGTGCGCGTATCCGCTCGTAGAATCCCGGTTAATTAGCCCTTCTTCCTGTAGGTTCCGTTCTCTTCTTCCGTAATAAGGTTCTTCTCAGTTCGAAGTCAATATTTGAATCCGTTTTCATCAGTTCTCAGCAAATATTTCCAACTCTCACTAAAGTCTGTTGATTAAACTACTTAAAACGAGCCGAGTCCCAAGCGGTTTAAGAATCCGTATAAAATTCACGTCAGGCGAAGTTCATCGTAAAGAATTTCGTGCTTTCACGCCAACGTTAATTTCTAGAAGAGAAGCACGCATTACGCTAGGCAGAAAATAACGTCTGACGGTAAATAATGGTGGGTTTTTTACGATAACCATAAAATTATGGACGTTTTACGCCTCACGCTATAACCTATGGTTGCATTCGTAGGGGAAAATAATAGAGGGTATTACGATTTGGTTCCTCCTATATTCTAGTGACCAAGGTTGCGTGAAGGTCGTTCATACGTGGATGCAAGCCAGTCTATTTTAGGATCTCGGTTTTTAATTGACGACAACGACGACGACGACTATGATGATTATGACGATGGTGATGATGATGATTATGATGATTACGATGATTCACGTACAGGAATAGACTCGGCATGAGCCCGTCGCTGCAAGTCGCGCTCTCCGAAGCGCAGTCGATCAGCCGCCGGCGTTCGATCGCGCCGTTCTGTTTGCGTGAGTAATGATCCGATCTGAGTCTCCGGTATATACTTCCATCTACACCCTCGAGAAGAGAGAATCACCTATAGTGTCGGCTGCTGCTGCTGCTGTATTTCATTACACACTCGCCCTTCACCGACAGCGACACCGTTTTGCTAAATCCTGATCGCTGACGCATAATTCCTCGACATCAACGATCCCGCGGTAAATTTACTGCCTCGCTGTCGGGAATACAGACCGCGGACGGGCGCTTTTCACGCGATAGCAACGCGGTCGTCGCTTGAGCTTACCGTCGGTAATTGCGATTACCGAAGAGCGAGCGAGAGTTGGAACATCGCGCAGCCTCGCGGTATGCTATCGCGGTATGCTAACTATAGATTGCAGTGACGTAACCGGTAACGACGCGTGACGTACAGAGGTCAATTCCGTGACGTAACCGGTAAGGACTCGTGACGTACAGAAGTCAGTTCCGTGACGTAACGGGATTCACGCGGCGATGTGAGATAAATTAACCAGTTTCCCGCCTGCGATGATGTTTCGGTTGCGACATCTCATGGTGAGCTCAGGTATATTTACCTGTCCCCGTCGTGTCGTTGTAGATGCGATCGATGTTCGCTCTCACCTGACAGGTGCAGCCGTGAGCACGCACAAAATTAATGGCTTCTTTAAGCTACCGTTATTTGATAACATTTTCCCTATTAAAATCTCGTTCGATTACGCTGGTAATTTCCGTCTGCAGCTGATGTCTACAGGTATTAACTGCAACCGGTAAATTATAATCGAAAACGGTAATAGAATGCGGACCAATTGCGCAGTACCGTAGTTACAGGATAATCCTTATAAATAAGCGAATTGCAATACATTTCTCAGTGCATGTTATACATGGAACACTCCAATCAGTAAGACGGCAGATATGCCATTACTACCCTAATTTTCCTTCGTACCGTATTCAGATTCAATCATCGGCTATGACCTTCTCACGGTGTATCATGATGTATAATGTCTTATCGAGTGTGTGGGACGCGTGGGTTTGCAACCGTAGCTCTAACGACGTGATCATGTGCAGACGAGGACGGTGGCTGTCTGGCTAATGTTACTAAAGCTTTCTTATTATCCAAAAAAATATCTAGTCTTATCTATTTTCGTAGTATATATATAATGACATTTCTTGAAATCCGACATCATTGATTCTCAAAGCATCGACGAGATAGGAGCGCATTTAAAAGTTAGAAGCCGAAACCTCGCTTTCACACAAGGAATTTTCCAAGTTAGTTCACCTGTTCGTTTGTGCTATGTGGCGCTGTATCTCAACAGACCCCTGAAACAGCGTCGCTACCCGCACGCGGCCACGCGGGTAGGTGAGCAATATATATATATATATATATATATACATATATATGCATATATCATATATATTATAAATATAATCGACCTAAATGGAAATTCTCTGCCGTAACGTTTGCGTCTCCCGCATCGGTTCCAGCCGAAGCTGCGGACGACGTTACAGCGACCGGATCACCAGCAGGGGGAGCCAGCGAGGAGGAGTTCATGTGCAAGGTGTGCATGGACGCCGTCGTCGACTGCGTGCTGCTGGAGTGTGGCCACATGCTCACCTGTACCAGCTGCGGCAAGAGGCTGAGCGAGTGTCCGATATGTCGGCAGTACGTCACGCGCGTCGTCCACGTGTTCCGATCCTGAGGCAGGTGCGAGGTCGCGCGGGGCGACGCACGCTCTTTTTACGTTAGTTCCGCTCCGGTCGGCGATGCCATCTGCTGGTGGTTAGTCGGGCAGATTTCTACGCGGCGTTTACATTATCTCCATTTGCGAGTGGTGGCGGTGGCGGTGGCGGTGGCGCCACTTGCCTCGTCCATTCTGTCAGGTTTTTCGATTTGATCACGTCACTAGACTGTGACTAGAGTGTAGCCACCTGCCAATACATTATTATCATGGTTGCCTGTGTGTTCGTTTTGTTAATGTTTTCGATGTCGTTTTTGTAATTGTTTGATCGGTCAGTAATTAATTAGTTTAGCTTTTAAACATGCTCATCTGCTCGGTAAGTGACTCAGCATAAGCAGGCGTTAGTCAGTCTGCTGCATGATTCATGCATATGGGCAAGGACCGAACTACTGAGTCTGTGTTGCGACTTGTTTCTAAGCAGTTCTTTCTTGTGTGGTCGTAAACACTATCTTGCATCACTTCTCGAGTAGCACTGAATTTTAATCGCCATCACGAGGCCATCATTTTAATTGTCTTGGCTGCGACATCTATATTATTTGTATTTCAGTCCTGGAGGTGCCGCCAGTGTGTGCTGCACATCAGGGTTGTGCATATTTCTCACTCGTAGAGTGGCCACTGTGTATGGTAGATACTAGCTCTAGAACTATAGCCCTTTGCTCCGCCGCAGGCGCTAGGGCGCGCTGTGAACGGCTATAGTTCTAGACCTAGGTAGATATACGTGATCAGGATCGACAATGTACTGACATTGTGGTGACGACATCGATGATCTGCAGTAGGCAAATCGTATGTCGTGACGGTAGTGGTCAGGCAGTATCGGGGATTTATACTTATTCTAGTGTCCCGGCATGAGAGTAGTAGTCTCTCGTGCCAGGAGCTGGCTAGTGTGAAAATGTTTCCTTCTTACTGTTGTGCCATCACTCTTTGGCACCGTGCGCTGATGCCAACGTGAAACCCAAGCCAAACCCTGCAGAATAGTTGTTAATAATATCCCCCGTTACTCCTAGTGGGATCTCACACTGCCGAATAAAGTATGTACTTTGTACACGTAGTTTGTGGAAGTGTAAATATTCGGAAATTCATCATAAACGGTTTAAAATATGATGCCAGCGTGCATAGCTATGAAAACTGTGAGCAAGTTGAAGGTGTATTTTGTCCGTTGTTGCATATACTGGCTCACATTTTATAGTGTTGTTTATACGTATTACCATTCATTGTGGGGAAAATACATTGTTGAAATCTTATGCGGATATGTAAATACTTTCCACGATATAAGAAAGGTGTGAAGTGGTAAAAGTAGCCATAACAGCGACGTTCAAACTTGGTACTGTAATCGTATGCATTGTTTATACGGTATGGTATTACACAATTGTTTTCATTTTAGTATAAGAAAATTTTATATAAGGTAAAGTAAAGTAAAGGTAAGTAAGGTAAGTAAGTCGTAGTTTTATCAGGAATATGTTTTCGATTTATGTTTGATCAGGTGGGATAAAAAATTTGCATGTAGTGCCGTTTTATTCATATGCTTTTGAACACTGATGTATAAACGAAAAAAACTGCCAGCCTTAGTCTGCTTGTAACTTTATTATTGTAAAAAAAAGTCATTTTAATTTGTCGTTTTTTGTCATGCAGTTTAAAAAATAAAGATATTTATGTAAATTTCAAGTGCATTTCTGCGTACTGGAACTTCAATATAGATTAAATTCAAACTATTATACCTACCTATAATTTACTGAAGTACGAAGTGTTCGAGGATTAATGCTGTGCGTAAATGTTCGGAGTGGTTCGAGTGTCACAACAGTTAAACATAAGAGACGTATGTACTTTCAGACTAAACTAAGCTAGATGTCTGCCAGTATAGGAGAGGGTTATAGGCGCAGTTACTAGAGATTACAATAACAAGAGGAGGAGCAATGAGCAGGGGAGAGGGTTGCATGCTTTATTCGCTTGACGTTATGGGCGTGATGGGCGCAGCCTGATGATTGGCACGCGATTGCTTGCTTTTTTGACGTGATGCGGCCATGATGCCGAGGCGCGCCGAGGATTGACACTTTGCGTCTTCCAATCACATCGTATGCCGCACCTCTCCGTTATAATTTTAAAGGTGGGGACCCATTGAGGTACGGAATCGTCGATCTCAAGAACCAGGGCATTCTGCTAGGCTAGAACGGTTTCCTACGATAGAGTTTGGCGAAAATAACACGCTGTTTAGCGCACTGCGCTACGTCCTTTATGTTGCATTTTCGCATCTCCGTAATCAGAATAAGCCCCGCCTTCTTCGTTGATTGACACTGAATGGGGCGTCAACCACGTGACCAGTTACTGCGTGTAGGTGTTTGGCGAGATCGTTTGCTTTTCGTAAATAATGAAAGGCCCGGGCAATGCATTTTGCATCAAAGTTGAAAAATTCGGCATTTTTACCTGCTTTCGGAAGTGAACGAGTGCGTCATTCATTGAAAATTGAAGTTTTTCTTAAAATTAAAGAATTCCGAAAATCCCTGACCGCGCTACTCGATTGTTTTAGCCAATGAACGTAGCTGTGTGTGTGACGTCTTGCCCGCGTGCTTTATGCTTGGCTTAGCGGGCCTCGAAATGGATATCGGAGGCAGGAACCTCGCAACACGCCTGTTTGTTTACATATAGCTTTGTGACATCAGGATGGGCGGTGTCGGGAGTTCTGCGATGATAACCTCGTAATTTCTCAGAATTTTTTAAGGTGCATGGAACATTACCATTACCATTACCATTAAATACACTCCAACTACATACGCACGTGTGCGCGCGCGCGCGTGCGTGCGTGTCCGTGTCCGTGTCCGTGTCCGTGTGTGCGTGTGCGTGTGCGTGTGCGTGTGCGTGTGCGTGTGTGTGTGTGGGGGGGGGGATTCGCTTACTCTAGGCTTACAACCTTCGATCTCACTCGCTTCATTAGAGAGCTTTATTTCGGCAGCTACGCTGTCAGCTAATCACATCAATTCCCAAGTAAAACTCCGTTACGAGTAGGCAGTAACAATCACACATCGCTTTAAAGTCACTTCCAATTAAGTCACTTTTATAAAAACAACAACAACCGTACGACAGTTTCGCACGATATGATGTGTGTAGCATCGGACCCTGCACTCACGTAGGCCTACAAGGTGTGGTTGCGAAAATTAACATTACATATTTAAAATTGGATATTGTCAGTCTTTCGTAACATTATTATGTAATAACACTTGTATGACAGAGTTGCTGAATTAAAATGTAAACCGCATTTTGTGTAGATTGCAGCATCGTGCAGTTTTGATTCATTATTGAGTGCTTCTTATTCACGTATATATCTACCCCCCTAGTCGGCAATGGCTTTGTATTTGCGTTGAATTTCAAATCAAGCGCATCTCTTTATTCGTCGTTATTCTCGGACGTGATTTTCTTAATTCATAGATCGCATTGTGCTGTCGAAAATGCTATTATTTGATTATTTCACGACCCAAGTTAGTCAATTATGAGATATGCGGGTAAGAAAATGCACGACTATTTCGCTAACTGTACTAGGAGCGCCTATAAATGATGAAATTCTTATATAACAGATTTATAGAAGTTCGCGTTTTTCCAACTAACTAGTCGGAATGGTTATCTGATAAGAACACTACCAAAACGCCAAAAAACGCTAGCCTATTTTTTTTAAACAGCGGTCAGGTGTGTCCGCCACTGATGATATAATGATCCATGCCTACAACTAGCCACCATGGCCACAAGTGTAGCTTGGCAAAGTATTGAAACCTACATTGCTATAGTAGGTTTTAGGAAGATAGGAGGATGATGAGGATGGGGAGAAGAGGAGGAGGAGGAGGAGGAGGAAGAGGAGGAGGAGGGGGAAGTTGGAGAAGGGAGAAGATGACGAGGAGATGGAGGATGAGGGGGTGAGAATGAGGATGCTGAGGAGGCGGTTCAAGAGGAAGAGATACTGATTCTTTATCCCAGAAAAAACAGCTGTAGTGAAGTTGAGCGGATGATACTCACAAGAGAGGAGAGGGAGAAAAAAAGAGAGACGAGACGAGGAGAGGAGAAGTAAAATAGAAGGACAGAGAAAATGGACTGAGAGAGGCACAGAGACAGAGGGAGGGGAGGAAGAATGAGGGGGCAGTGGGAGAGTCAGATAGATGAAGAAGAGGCAAGGAGAGAGAGGGAGGGTAAAGAAAGGATGAAGAGGGGGAACGCGAACACACGAGTGTCTCAGTCCATAGCATCATTCAGACAGTTATTTTCAGATAGTAAACAAACAATTTTACGAACCACATCTGTTCGGACAGAACGTTGCTTGAACGCCGGCGTAAATAAACCCAGCTAATATCATAAGACGGCCAGGCACAATTGATGGTACACAGCTGTGGGTGTGCATCAGAGCGAGCTCTGGCGATACAGTGGCAATACATGGCAAGACCGGCAACGAATTCGATACGCGCGTATCACAATTGGCAAGATTCTCAACGTTACGAGGGCGGTATCGAACGGTTCGCTCTGTCGTGTTTCGAGTTTTTCTTACAACAAAAAATACGAACAGTGATTACACGTCGCCGCGTAGGACAATAAATACCACACAGCTTCTGCTTAACGCGTGTGTGTGTGTGTGTGTGTGTGTGTGTGTGTGTGTGTGTGCGTGCGTGCGTGTCGTGCGTGCGTGCGTGCGTCGCGGGCGTGCGTTCGTTCGTGCGTAGCGTGCGTGCGTGCCGTGCTTGTGTGGCCGGTGTGTGTGTGTGTGTGTGTTGATGTGTGTGTGTTGTGTGTGTGTGTGTGTGTGTGTGTGTGTGTACGTGTGTGTGTGTGGTGTGGTAGTGTATGTATGATCCTGAGTGGTGTGTGTGTAGTGTGTGTGGTGTGTGTGTGCATGAGTGTGTGTGGTGCGGTACGTGGCATTGCGTGCGTGGCGTGCGTCGTGTGTGTGTGTGTGTGTAGATGTCGTGTGTGTGTGTGTGTGTGTGTGTAGTGTGTGTGTGCGTGTGTGGTGTGTGCGCGCGTCCATCGTGTATCGTGTGTGTGTTGTGCGTGCGTGCGTGCGTGCGGGCGTGCGTTCCGTGCGTTGCGTGCTTTGCGTGCGTGCGTGTGTTTGTGCTGTGTGTGTGTAGTATGTTTTGTTTTTTTGTATGTTATGATCATGAGCTGGTGTGTGCATGTTGTGTGGTGCGTGCGGTGCGTGCGTGCGTGCGTGCGTGTGTGTGTGTGTGTGGTGTGTGTGTGTGTGTGTCTGTGTTGTGTGTGCATGTGTGATAGTGGATGTGTGGTGTGAGTGGCGCGTCGTGCGTGACGCGCGCGCGTTGTGTGTGTGCATGGTTGCGTGTGCGTGCCGTGCCGGTGCGTGCAGTGCGTGTGTACAATACGCGCATCTCTCCGTACCGTAACAAATAGCGCGAGGAGCATCTTATATTAAGGTCGGATACACGAGACGGCTGATTACGCTGAGACAACGAGTCGCTGATCGCCAGCAGGCCGTGTAAAACTTGGCTGTCGGTCCGTGTGATCAATACGGCAATTCTGTCTTAGCAAACAGCGAGCCATCTCAACGATAAGTACCTTAGGCGAATAGCAAATTATTTTACGGAATAATAAAACGCCGTAACACTAACTCACCTCCACACCGCCTTCGCTCTCCCCATTCCTCCTCGCTGTAAAGATGTTTTTATCCTCCCCATCCGCGCCTCCTGTTGGCCATTTAAGATTCGATAATAAGCAAGAATACATAAATAGAGAATATGCTAAACCTTATTATGTAACTCTTAAATAATAAGAGACAGGGGTAAATAATGACAGGTATATTAGTTTGTCCATCCCCACT